GACTCCCGAGGGCATCTTCTGCTACCTAGTGATGGCCTTCGGCCTAAAGAACTCGGGGGCCACTTACACCAGGATGGTGGCCCGGGTCTTTCAAGCCGTCCTAGGGCGCACCATGGAGGCCTATGTCGACGACATGATCGTCAAGAGCAAGCAATCTTCCAGCCATGCTGACGACCTCCGGGAAATCTTCGCCATCATGCAAAAATTCTACCTTCGGCTAAACCCGAAGAAGTGCACCTTCGGCGTCCAAGGGGGCAAATTCTTAGGCTACATGGTGAGCCGAAGGGGTATTGAGGCCAATCCCGAGAAGATCCAGGCCATCATCAACATGGAGCCCCCACGCAACGTAAAGGAGGTTCAACGGTTGACGGGCCGCCTGGCAGCCCTCAACCGCTTCCTATCTAAATCAGCGGAGAAGTCTCTACCCTTCTTCCAGATCATGAGGAAGACGGCTGGCTTCCTATGGACTCCAGAATGCCAGGGGGCTTTCGACGAGCTCAAAAGATATCTATCTTCACCTCCTGTGCTCTCCAAACCCAAGGTAGGGGAGACCCTCTACCTCTACCTTGGGGTTAGCCCGGCGGCCATCAGCTCTGTGCTCATCCGGGAGGAAGACGACATCCAACATGCCATCTTCTACGTTAGCAAGACCCTAAGGGAGGCCGAGCTCAGGTACTCCCCTGTGGAAAAAACGGTGTTGGCCATCGTTTGGACTGTCAAGAAGTTGGGCCACTACTTTCAGGCTCACCCAGTTCAGGTCCTCACTCATCAACCCCTCGGCGCCCTCATGAGGAGCCCCACCAGCTCCTCCCGCATGGTTAAATGGGCTATCTTCTTGAGCCAGTACAACATTGACTTCCGTCCAAGGCCTGCCATCAAGGGCCAAGCCCTAGCGGACTTTGTGACGGAATGTACCGCAAGGGCAGCCACGGACGGGGAGCCCTCGGCTGCCTCGGACGATTGGTGGACCCTCTACACTGATGGCTCCTCCGCGACCAAAGCATGCGGAGGAGGGGTAGTCCTCATTACGCCCGAGGGCTTCAGGGCCTACTATGCAATCCGCTTCTCCTTCAAGGTCTCCAACAACGAGGCCGAATATGAGGCCCTCCTATGTGACCTTCGGCTGGCTGCCAACATGAGGGCTCGGCAGATCCACATCAAGTGCGACTCCAAGTTGGTCGTTGGCCAAATCTCCGAAGAATATGAGGCCAAGGAGGGAAGAATGAAGCAGTACAAGGAGGCGGCCAAGGAGTTGCTTAGGGTATTTGAGGCACACTCTCTCACCCAAATACCGAGGGCTCAGAACTCCGAGGCCGACATATTATCTAAGCTCTCGGCAGACTCCCCCGAGCACATCTCCAAAATTGCCAAAATCGAGGAACTCAGCCTCTCAAGCATCCATGCAAGCCCCGTGATGAACATACAACAACGTCAGGAGGATTGGATCTCAGATATCACCGCCTTCATCTCCACAGGGCAGCTACCCGAGAATGAGGCCCGCGCTAAACTGGCAAAGCTGAGGGCTCCCAGCTACACCATCGAAGATGGGAGGCTCTACAAACGATCTTACAATGGCACGCTACTTCGGTGCCTTCATCCAGATGAAGCCGAGGTCGCAATGGAGGAAGTACACAGTGGCACTTGCTCAGCTCACCAGGGACCCTTCTCCATGTCCCGAAGGCTCATTCTCCAGGGTTACTTCTGGCCAACCATGGCCAGGGATTGTGCTGATCTTGCCCGGAGGTGCACCGCGTGTCAACATTTCCAGAAAGCCCCCGGCAGGCCAGCGGTCAACTATGCCCCCATCAGCACATCTGTCCCTTTTTCTCGATGGGGGATAGACCTTGTGGGCCCTCTGCCGAGGGGTACCTCCAACAACAGGTACATCATTGTGGCCGTCGATTACTTCACCAAATGGGTGGAGGCTGAACCCCTCGCCAGCATCACGGAGGCAAAATGCCGTCACTTCGTCCTCAAGAACATCCTCACAAGGTTTGGCGTCCCCCAGCAGATCATCTCCGACAATGGGACACAATTTGAGGCAGCCCCCTTCTGTGCCCTTCTGGAGGCATGGGGCATCAAACACACCTTCTCCTCCGTTGCCTACCCTCAAGGCAACGGGCAAGTAGAGAACGCCAACCGGACCTTGCTCGAGGGCCTCAAAAAGAAGCTGGAGGCCGAGGGCGGTGGCTGGGTAGAAGAACTTCACAACATTCTTTGGGCTTACCGCACCACCCCTCGGCGAGCTACAGGTGAAACACCCTTCTCCCTCTGCTACGGTTTTGAAGCCAAAGCTCCTACGGAAGTCACCCTTCCTACCCGAAGGGTGATCCAATATGACCCCGAGGTCAACGACAGCAACATGGCCCTCGACCTGCACCTCATTTCAGAACGCCGGGAGCAGGCCTTCATCCGGGCAGAAAACTACCGAAGGCAAGTTAAAAGCTACATCGACGCCAAAGTTCGGACCCGGGAATTTCAAGTGGGGGACTATGTCCTCCGGAGGAGGGAAGCCACCCAACCAACCGAGGGAGGAAAAATGGCTCCAAAATTCGAAGGCCCCTACATCATAGCAGCCATCATCAAACCCGGGACCTACAAGCTCAAACGCCCCAATGGGAAAGAAGTCCCTAGGCACTGGAATGTACACCATTTAGTTAAATTTTATCAATAATGTAAGAGCGGCCAAGCCCTCATAACTAGTGAATGTACTATCCTATGGCCCAAGGCCTCCAATTTCGAAGAATGAAGATACATTCAAGACATCAAGCCTTCATACTGACTACAGGCCCCGGGCCTTAACACCTACAACATCAGTGAAAACACCACGTGTTTTCAGTCAAGACCCCTCAGCACCAAGTACCAAGGGAGGGAACTCCTATCACCAACAACAAAGAACGCCATGTAATTCATTTCCCTTCGGCACCCAGTGCCGAGGGCACATCCCCACCTTCAACACCAAAAAAGAAAAGATGAGAACACCAAGTGTTCCTACAGAAGACCCCTCGGCACCCAGTGCCGAGGGTACACCTCCATCATCAAACATCATCAAAGAAGACCCCTCGGCACCCAGTGCCAACTATATACTCTCCTGTCAACTTCCAAACATTTGTCGGGAAACACCAAGTGTTTCATTTGAAGACCCTTCGGTACCAAGTACCGAGGGTAGGCACCTCCATCAACTACGATAAAAGAGAACACCAAGTGTTCCTACAGAACACCAAGTGTTCCTACAGAAGACCCCTCGGTACCAACTACCGGGGGCTACACATCGAAACTGACACCAAGTGTTGTTTCTAAAGCCGTACCCCACGAGGACGCATATACCGAAGGCGCCACCATCGGTGCCGGCGGCACGTAGTGCCCCCGGCCATTTGCAACTAGTGTGCAAATGAAAACCCTTCCTTGAAACGCTATCCGCGTCATTACCCCCAGGGTATGACCGGCATGAGAAATGCCCAGGATTCGACTTCCAAACCGAAACGCTCCCTGCGCCACCACCCCAAGGGTGTGGCAGGCCACAGACTATGTCTAGCGCCGAGGGGACGACTTTCAAAAATGAGGCGCTTTCCGCGCCATCCCCCAAGGGGAGGCAGGTTACGGACCACCATATCTTGTGCCCAGGAAACGTCCCTCGATCCCCTCGGCACTCGGAAGGTTAACCCGAGGGAGGAGAGCCATTGGTGTATTCTGATGGTCTCCTAATAGGCCCAGCCTTACCAAGAAACCAAGTTTCTTGATGCCTTTCCTTCACCACCAACCAAAAAAAAAAAAAAAAAGGGGGGGGGGGGGGGGGGGGTGAAGGGGAGTAGACTCAGCGAGAAATCAAAGAGTACACTCCAACAGATCACAACAAACCGAGGGCTCCCCACGGGAACACCCCCGGTTACTGCAGGCTCACATTTCCCGAAGGATACCACTCAAACAAAGGTCCCATGACAAGGGTCAAATTCTACAACTTTTGAAGTGTATGCCGAGGGCACACACTCCTCATTGGCTTTCTTCACAACAACAGGATTCAACATCAATTTATGCTTAGAAACATTGATGTCCTGAAGGAGCAGCCCCGGGCACCCGAAGGCTACACAGGGAAGCAGCACTTGAAAAAAATTCTAAGTCCTAAAGATTGGGCCCCCGGCCCAATCAATATTACAGCCAAGGGAATATGGTGGCCGAAGGCTATGCAATACAAACAACACTTGCAAACAAAGAAAATTTCTATGTCCTAAAGATGGGCCCCCGGCTCAATTAGTATTGCAGCTAGAGGAATGTGACAGCCGAAGGCCATACATCAAGGAGGGATTCCACTTCCCGAAGGCTCCCAAGGGAGATTTTGCACTTAGAAGATTTTTCTAAGTCCTGCATATTTCCCCCCGGTCAACTACTCATACATCATGAAGGGATGCCATCTCCCGAAGGCTCCCAAGGGAAACTCTACACTTAGAAGATTTTCTAAGTCCTACATATTTCGCCCTCATCTCGAGGGACCTAATTGCTGAAGGCTACCTATCAATCGAGGGCTACAGTTCACAAGGAATCAACACTCAAGGAAATCTTCTAAGTCCTAAAAGAATTAGCCCCCGGCCTATTCAATATTACAGGTGGGGCTCCACAGTAGCCGAAGGCTACATGGCATACTACACTTGCAAAAATCTCTAAATCCTGTGCATTGGGCCCTCGGTCCAACATTCACACATAAGGAATGGGCGCCATATCCCGAAGGCTCTCAAGGGGGAATCTACACTTAGAGATTTTTCTAAGTCCTAGGAGGTGGGTTACTACAAACGCCCGAAGGCCTCATGCTGTGCTACACTTAGAAAAAATTTCTAAGTCCTAATTGCTGCCGAACCATCGGTTGCATATCCAGCAGAGGGTGCCCAACTACCGAAGGTTCCCAAGGGCTAGCTACAATCAGATAGTATTCTAAATCCTAAGACATACATTCAAAGGAACAAACACATACATTCAAAAATGCCGAAGGCATACATCCAAGAATAAAGGAATCGAAGGGAACAAGTCATATATACAAAGCCCGAAGGCGATCATTCAATCATCAAAAAGAAAGCAAGTGTAATTGCGATTTTACTATTACAAGCAGGCCGAAGCCGAGGGATAAATAATGTCATCATTACAAATGTATGTTTACGTGATAAAAAGTACATATCAACTCATGTTACTCCCGGGGGCCGCCTCCCCCGATGGCTTCGAGGTCACTTCTGCGTCGGCCTCAGGTTCGTCGCCCTCGGCTTCCTTCATGAGCTCAAAGTCCTCTAGGTCTGGCCTCTCGACATCGGGGGGAAGAGGAACGCGGATGTCTGGCTGCAGGGGGGGGAGCCCGTATGCTGCCGGGTCAAAGTCCTTTGGCTCGATCTTCAAGTGACGAGCCATCCTCCGATAGATGAGGGCTTGAGTGAAGAACTCGCCCCCATCGTAGTATTGTTTACCCTTTCGGGAAACCCACTCCACGCCAGGCCCATCGCACCACTCGTCGACCGAGGACTCGACGACCGAGGACAGCCATTGCTTGTGCTCCTCGGACCGCCATCCCCCTGCCAAGAACCCTGAGATTGCGTCCTCCCGGGCTCTCTCGACGGCTTCAACCTTCGCGGCCTCGGCTTCCTTGGCAGCCTTCTCCAAGGCCTCAGCTGCGGACCTCTCGGCTTCTGCCCTACCCCGATCCGCGGCCTCCGCTCGCAGGGTCATTTGCCGAAGGCTCTCCTCCAGCATGGCCATCTGCCGCACAGCGTCTGCATTCTGGCGGATGAGCTCCCGCATCTTGGCCTCCTGCTCGGCCTTGCGAAGGCGCCACTCCTCTAGCCGCCGGGCTTGCTCCCCGAGGGCAATGCAGGTCTACAAAAACAAAGGGGTTAACAAGGCCAAATATGGTTTCTGAGCTCCAAGTAAAACGGAAAGAAATAGGCGTGAAAGACTTACTGTAAGGGAGGACCGGAGGATCCTGTCCTCGAGGGCTTCGTCTTCATCAGCCCCGAGGGCAACCCTGTCAATCTCGAGGGTGATGCCTCGCAGAAGCGCCCTCGGGTCGGCGGTACCATTCATCACGGCCGTACCAGCCGGGAGGGAAACCATGAGGACCTCGGAAGATGGCCCCTGAACTCCCGACGGCACCTTCGCCACCTGCATGTCCTCATCTGGCCCGGGGGCAGGGCCTTCATCAACAATGATCACCGGGGGGGATTTCTTCCCGGCATCCCCGGTCTTGGGCTTCTTGCCCTCGGGATCTCTGCCCGAGCCCTTCCTTTTGGCGGCAGCAGCAGCATCAGCGCTTGGGTCCGCCGACGGCCCCTCCGGTTTTTTGAAGAAGTCACCGGCGGGTTTTGGGACACAGGCGTCCGTCCCCCTCGGGCCCTTGGAGGGTTTCTTCTTCTTCAAGTCTGCAAGGCCTCTAACATTCATCATTTTCACTGGGACACCTGCGAAGAAACAAAGGAATGGGGTTAGAATCGAGGGGACGCTGACCGAAGGCACAAAGAACAAAATAAAAAACAAAAAAAAACGAACAGGATAAGCTATGTGCTAAGGGACCTCGTAGACTACCTCCCGTTCCCCCGAAGGCCTCAGCAAAAACGGGGTACTTCTCATCCGCTTCACCAATAAACCGGTATCTGCGAAAGCCGAGGGCGTAGAATCCCTTGTCGGCAGTATAGTCTTTAATGGAGACCTGCTTGGTGCGACCCTCCGGGATTTTTGCTATCACCAGGCCGTCTTTTTCAAGGGCGGCGCTTCCAACCTTCGGATGCCGACGGAAGCGATCCCGAAGTTCCGCCGGGAATGGGTTCTCAGCAACCCTGACATAGCACCAACGCTCCTTCCAGTCCTTGTTTGACGAAGGCGCCTCCGTAAACAGCTTCCACCTGGCCACCTGCTGCAGGTTGGCGAAGCCCTCCGCATTCGCGTGACCCCCTCGACAGAGGTTGAAGCTCTGGAAGAACAAGTCCAGGCTGGGGGTCACCCCTCGGTCCCTACAGAGATTTAGGAAACCCGCCACGTAGGAATGGCTATTAGGTGTCAGCTGGCAGGGCACCAAGCCGACGAACCTCAGGTACTCCCGGAGGAAGGGGTACAGCGGGAACCGAAGGCCCATGGATACCGACAGCACGTGTACTGCAATGCACCCTTCGGGCGCCCGAGAGAGCACATCGTCAACTCCCGGCTCGACCACCTCGGCCGAGGGCCCTACATGTAGCTGCGTCACGTAGAGGTCCGCCCTGTCCGCCTTCGACTTTATTTCCAGGGCAGCCGTGTTGAGCCAGGAATACCCCTCCGGCATATCTACGGGCTTCCCCTGATCAGCAGCTATGACCTTCTTCTTAGGGACAGCCGCCTTGGCCTTCTTCTTCCTGGGGGCCACCCGGATGGGAACCGCGTTCAGCGGCTGGGAAGTACTGGCCTCACCAGCACCCCGAGGGGGAAGGACGGCCACAGTGACCTTCACCCTCTCCTTCTCCTCCTCCTCTTCAGCAACTTGGACGGCGAGGGCCAACTCTTCATCCTCGGCAGTTCGCTCGAATTCCTCCGCCTCGGCCTCAGCCGTCAGATCTTTCTGCACCTCAGTGGCGAGGGCTGCATCACCACAATCCGAGGGCTGATCACTGCTTGACTCCACATCGGAGATGCCTTCGTCCTCCATCGAGGGCGTCCTCGAGACGTCCTGAGAGTCACTCTGGGACGACATTCGCTTTCTTGTTCGAGGGCTCGTAGACGGTAGTGTTTCCTAACTTTTCTATCTCCTAAACTAAGGGCACAGTACAGCTATGCTAGAAGGAGAAAGGCAGGGAGCACTGACCTCGAAAGCTGAGTTTTGGACCGAAGGCTGAACTTTCTCTCTCTAGAAAAATTGACAGAGCTTCGCTAACAAGTTTATCGCACACGGAGGAATGCCTGGCCTTGGGGTATTTATAGGCGCTGGAATCCGGGCTTGGGCCTGGGTTCCGGGCCTCCGGATGGACGCCATCATTACGCGCCGTCGTTTCACCCAACCGGTGACGCCGCCCACGAACAACCAGCCATCACACGCCACGTGTGCCATCCCCCCTACGGCTATATCCTGTCGTTACGTATTCCAACGGCTATATTTCCAACGGCTATATTCTGGAAGCCCCCGGGTTTTCTACTTCACTCCACTTCATCAAAGACAGCCTCCGGGTACAATCACTCAGAAGTGCCCCCGGGTTGCGCCCCACACAGCACATAACAGACGCCTTCGGGATCACTCCTTCAGAGACCCAGGGCTTCATAGCAGGACACCCCCTCGGGGATTCCCCCTCAGCACTGCAAAACTGGGTAGCCCCCGGGGAGTTTCCTCATTGACGGATGGGGAGCCCTCGGGTATCTTCATCACCAACAAATCAACAAACAGTGGACCCCCCGGTAAACGCTTCACTGCTGCCCTCATCTGGCAGGCCCTCGATCTCTGGATTGAGGGGCTCCCCTTCGGCACCACCAGGACATCAACAGCGAGCCTTCAGCTAATCAACACAGGAGCCCTCAGAAGAGAGAGCCCTCGGCATTCCCGCCATTCTCCATTTTGTACCAAGGTTTGACATTTTCGATTCATCATTGGGGGAATTCGGTGCACTCTTTTTCCCTCGTTAGGATTTTTTCCCAAAGGGTTTTTCCTAATGAGGTTTTTAACGAGGCATCCCCCCAAAATGAAACGAAAAGCGTCAGCCTTCGGCCCACAACAGCAACGTACCTACTTTACTCCTTTTCACCACTTTACAAGTGCCTCAAGGAGTGGAGGACTGGAGGACCCCCTCGGGAAAATCATTAAATTACAAAATCTGTGAAAATCCAACAAACAACAAAGCAAGCCCTCAAGTCCCGACATGTGGGTAACTGAGGGACTACCTTCGGCAGGGACATAAGAGCAACAACTCCTCACCAACTTCAGAGATCACGACAGGACAACATCAAAGGCCAAACACAAATTACTCCTTTTCCCTCAAGTACCTTTCGGAAAAAGGAGTGAGGGACTCCTGATGGAGTATATGGCCCGGGAACCCCCGGCCCACAGACTCCTACTACTCCAGCAAAGGCCCAACAGGCCCAACAGGCCCAAATCACAGCGCCCAGAGTACCAAGCAGTCCGCACAACGTACAGGGGTGCCTTCGGCCCCTTGGCCGAAGGCTCCAAATTGTCACAGAGCGGGTTTCTCAAGCAAACTAAGAAACTGGGAGAAAACGGCGAAAACAGCAGCTCTCGGCACTGTAAGCCCTCGGCACCAGGGGTGCCATCGGGAGGGAGAGCCCTCGGCTACTGCTCTATAGCCGAAGGCATCTCACTCGACAAGATATCCGCTTCACATGCGTACAGATCACCGTACTCTGCACAGACGTCCCATCCAACAGCCGCATTAAATGCGGCCACATGCGGCTGCCAGCGCCAACCAGTAGAGGTGACCCCTCAGCCAATGAGCGCCTGACACGTGTCCCTACCCGGCATTTATTGCTACTATAAATAGCACCCCATTTCCCCATTTGTAACCACGCAAAATACATATTGAATATACACTCTCTCTCTTACTTGTTCGCTCTGACTTCTCTCTGAGTTATTCCCCGTAATAACCCTTCGGATATATACCCCCGGGTAGACTATCCATCAGTAACAATGCACTATTAAAATGCTAAAAACATGCACAAAGTGAATTATTATCATGCCCATAGGCCATAGCTATGTGCGTTATGCGGGAATCTAATCGTACACGACAATAATTTCTTTGTCAATGATGATAAACATTATTTTTAATACTCCTATCTAAAAAGTGTAAAACCATAATGCTAAATGTGCATGCATAGAATGCTAAAGTTGTGGGGATAGATAAAGTTGTGTAACATCAACCATGTTATTTAGTTTATACAGAGTACAGAAGTGCACTTTGATACTCTCATTATTTAGTAAAATGAAGTGCACTTTGTTCACCTGTGCATAACTTTTTGTAGTGCTGATTGTATCTATTATTTTTTCTTGGAAGTCTATGATTTTTAAGCCACATACTCACATAGTCCAGTTTGAAAATATTTTATTTATCAATGTGTTATAAAATATATTATATAAAACATTTTAGGGAAGTCTATGAAAAAGATAATTGTGGCTAGATCCGTTTTCAAAAAGGGTTATGTTTTCATTTTTTACCAACTGGTGGCCCTGATTAAATTTGTTCTTAATCCAACTCATATCTCTATTTTGTCTTAAAACATGATTTGACAAATAATTATTCTATTACTAATTTTTTTTCATATCCCTAGTTCCCTACAATAAAAAAAAAGGTTTATATGTATATAAACTTTTTAGAATTTATATGAACATTTTAAGACACTAACTAACACAAACCTCTTTTTTATTTAATTTTTTTATTAATTATTTTATTATTGTTTATTTTATGACAAAAACATAACACATACTAGGCTAGTTATAATAATTGTCAAAATATCATTAAAGCATTAGTAAATAATATTAAAATTCATAGGAAATAAAATAAAAAAGAGAAATGAAGAGGAATACCTAAGCCTGCTTAAGCGGGTTAGGCGCCTAGTCACAATACAACTAGCCCCTAACGCCTTTTAGAACATTGCATTTAACCAAGCCAACAAAAGACACAAAAATCTTGAATATGTGGTAAATGATAGACATGCAACTGCCAAATGTAAGTCCTGCTTTGAATTCGAAGCACGAGAAATTCAAATCATAAGAAAGATGAGCACAGAGTGGGAACATTTTTGGAATTCGCAAAAACATGGAACAACACCACTACCACCATCATATTAGCCCAACAACTATGGCTTCCTGGGGGGCTTCACTTCATCCCTAAGACGTCGAGAGACGTCCCTTTGAAGAACCTCCATAAACTCCTACAGAGCCATAAAAGTCTAAGTCGACGTTTAAAAATTTAAATGAACAAATAACATGAGAAAAAAACCAAGTACTCACGTTTGTAAGGCCTTCCGTACTGCACAAGGCATTCACGAGATTCTCGCTTTCATTGCTGCTTCTGTTGTAATGAACCTGGACAGCGTTTTCAACTATGGAGCGGAATATATCTTCAGGAGGACTACGATGTTCGATTCTTCGAACCATGTTTTGGACTCCCGTCTGCACACACACATATAGGTGGCTCAAATGGCAGTCATCATTCAAACAAATGGATTATAGACATTTCCGATTGCAATAGTACATAGGATTAAAATGGTTTAAATTCAGATGTGTTGTCTAATTGGACAAGACATTTCCATTTGCAATAATACATAGGATTAAAATGGTTTAAATTCAGATGTGTTGTCTAATTGGACAAGGAACAACATGGAACATTTACTTGCACCGACCATCAGTTCTTTGAGGGCTATGTCGATTTCATTACCGACTACCAAGTGGACATACCAGATTCAAATTTTTTACTGATGAATGCTAAACCTCAGTCAGGTCTATATGGCACCATTTGGATAGGAACTCAATCCCCGGGAATCCCTTATTCCCAGGAATCGCACTGTATGTGTCTAGATAATAGATGCCCATATCTGTGCATAAGAATTTGTTACGGATGCATTTTTAGGGTTTTAATTAATTAGGAGTCCAGTTTGATGTTATCTTTATATTTTATTTATTTATTTATTGTTTCCTATTAGTAATAGAAGTGTTAGAAGTTTCAGTTTTAGTTAGAGTAGAACTCTATCATGTAAAGGCAGGCTGCCTATTTATACTCATTATTCAGCATTAATAAAACCATCGATCATTAGAAGAATTAATCCCAGAGAAGTCACGGACTTCCCCCCTTCCCCTGCGCTCTTACTGCGCTCTTCCAGCCACGGGCAAGAAGAGGATTAACCCTAGCAGGCAGGTTACCACCTCACCCGGGTACCCTGCTACCCCAAGTCGCCCCTGGAACCGTTCTCAGTCCCAGAACCCTAACAGAATTCTTGGGAGTTCCATTTTCCTGAGATATATCATTTCCCAAAATTGGAAGCACCCAATGCCTCCACTATGCCCATGAGTTTTGCTCAACTGCTCATAATTGAGTAATTTCCGATAATACAAAACATGTTTTAAATTTATTTCCTAGTCACTCAAGTCCCAGTAATTAAGTAATTCAATCCTAATCATAAAATCAGTCCAAACGAGGCAGTAGGAATATTAGAACTAAACTTTATGAAATTATCAATGGATATTATCAATACCTATGTTGATATTGGTGAGATTATTTTAAAAATAATGAGACGAACATTAAATCCATCCAAAAGAGGAATACACTGAAGGTAAGGAACAAACCTGAAAACTTTGATTGGTTGGTGTCATCCCTTCCCTAGTCAAACGAATGTCACCCTGTCTAGTTTCTGTTCTAGAAGCTTGCTGAGCTGCAGATGTAGTAGAAATACCACCAAGTGCTTGAGAAACAAGTGGCATCATTTGTTGAAACATATTAGACAGATTGACTTCACTACCACCGCTGCCAGGGCCCACACCTAAACCAGAAAACATGCTTCCAAGATCCTGAGTATCAATCTGCTGAGCAATCTGGTTGACGGTATTCATCATTCCAGGGCTTTGTGTAAGTTGCTGCATCATATTCCTGAAGGCATCGGGAGATCCGAGACCGGTTTGTTGAGAGATCCCGCCCAACAAACCATTTAAAGCTGGGCTTTGAAGAACTTGTGACATCACATTTGAAATATCAGGTTGGTAATTCTCACCAAAACTGGGACTTCCTATAACACTGCTAGCTGGATGAGAAGTTTGACCTGAAGGGAGTGATGCAAGGGATTGCAGAATCTGTTGCCCATCTCTTATGGATTTTTCGCCCTGACTGAATGGAGAAGCTGCACTCTCATCGCTTCTTGACTGTGATATTGGTTGCCTAGTTCGCCTCTGGTTAATAAATGAAAAACTGAGATAGTAGATGAAGTGAACAAAACTGGCACCAACAAAATAAGGAAAATCTGGTTTTTGCACCCCATGGCTTACCCAATAAGTGACTTTGCAACCTATGTTTTATTTTTCATTGGGATGCAAATTGTTGGCAAAGTTATAAATTGAATTGTTAGTTTTTTGTTGCTTCTAAATAATTTCTATAAATATGAGACTTTGATGTAGTCTTCTCATTATCAAAAGATGGAATAAAATCAGTCTTTTTCTCCACAAACAGCTGCTGCTCGGTTTGCTGCTAAATTCTATTTCTTTCCTTAACAAATGACACTAGCGTCTTTCATGATAGTCACTAATAAGGAATGTGAAAAAGTATTGTGGAAGGAGGCGTCCTATCTTTATTATTGCTATTATAAGATTACTTCATTAGAATTTTCCTCCTGTTATATTAGTACTATTAGTTTCCTATTAGTATAGGTATCGTACTTAGTTAATGTTCCTAATAGTAATACTGTAATAGATTTAGAGTTACTCAGTTACACCAATACTAGTCCACCGAGACTTTTAGAACTAGTAGAGATGCTCTATCCGTTAATAAAATTATCAATACTTTTGAAGTTATTCATTCAGTCTTGAATAGGTCAGGTACCACCTTCTCTTGCCCAAGACAGGAAGTTCATCTTTTTTGAAAGCATTTCATGATTTCATGTCACCGGAAATTAACTTCGGGACCCTCATTGTTGTCTTCCAGTTCAAAATTATGAATGTTCAGTTGGTTTACAAGAGCAACAAATTCACAGCCTATTCTTGCATCAGTGACCAAACTTTATATCTACTCTTGCTGGTTATGCCAAGGCGTCAAGGCCACCAAGCCTTTACTAAATTTCACATCTGGAAAGATGACAAGTGTTGGTTTTTTAACCACATAATTTGATAGCAGAAAAGATGACACACTACGTTGCTCCTTTTCAAGCTATGATGTGATGATGTCCATGAGGGCATGAGGTGAGTAATGATACGTGCATGTCAGCATGTCTCTGCATCTAATGATAAGTGGCTCGAAGGAAACGTTGAGAAGTATTTAGGTGAACACTTCTTACTATTGCTGTTATTATTTGTTAGAAATATTTTATTGGGTTCAATTATTTTTTATATCTTTGTATTTGTGTAATAAATACATTAGTTATTATCATCAGGCCAATTATGTATTTGGGCCCATTTATTTTAGCAAGTCCATATGTAATACATAGGTTAGCCCTCTTACCTATATAAGAAGTGCTAATATACGTAAACCCTAAATATTAAATGAGGCATCTGTATATTTTGTTGAGAGAGCAGCGAGAGCTGCCGCTTTCCAAAGCTGAGTATTGAATTCACAAATACAAAACTAACTCGCGCTAAAACGCTGATTGAACACAGAGAAGGAGATCATTAGGAAGATGACGATAGAAACGCTAATGAGAGCTCCTTCTCAGATGACGATCAAGATCAAATCTGGAGAGTACGAAGCATGAATGAAGCGATTGAAGAAAGAAAATATCTTCAAAGCAACATCTTCCAGTTTGAAGTGGCATTAGGGTTCAGGAAATCATTTTACAAAAACAAAGATGAACCACGTAGTCAAGCAGGTTGAACCCAATGGCGGAGAATGTTAGGAAATATTTTGTTTCAATGATTTTGTTTATCTTTGTATTTAAGTATTTTATGACTCTTGTATTTTGTTTATGGGCCAACTTTATTTATGGGCCCATTAGCATTTTATTACTCTTGTAATTCGCTTGACACACCACATATAAATAGCCAGTAGGGTTAAACATATATGCATTGAATACATTGAATACACTTTGAGCGCCATTACTATTTGAGAGTTGAGAGCCGCCTTATATTGAATACGTTGTACTCAACACCGATCGACATCATTACTATTGTGTTATTGTTGAACAATTATGATTTACATTTTTGGGATTTATTGCAATAGTTACCTTGGTTATTACTATTCTTATTATTATTCAAGTTATTATTCTATTGTAGTTAATATTTATTCCTAACATAAGTACTGTAATAGGTTTAAGGATTCTCAATTACCAATCCACCAAGTCTCTTGGAACTTGTATGAATGAAGGTGCTTCATTTATTAATAAAACCATCAATGTTTTTGAAGTTATTCCTTTTGGGACACCTTTTGGGACCTTTTGCCTGGGGCATGGAAGTTCTCCATCTTTATTGATTTCAATCCTCATTCTTTAATCGTCCAACAAGGCCCATGGCAGCAAAGTCAAACAAAACAAAACAAGGGATGAAAAGTAATATATGGGATAACCATGGGGTGCAAATACCAAACATGCCTTTATGCCTTAAAATAAACCATAATCAATATCCCAACTTCAGGTAGAATACAAATGCTCACTGAGTAGTATATCAAAAGCACACATTTGATAACGATCTACAAAACACACACATATATGAGTTTGAACGAAGATCTGAGATTTATTTATTGAGTTTGAACCCATTTCCCCCCCAAAATTTCCGAATTTTCATCGCTTTGAGTTTCCCCAAAGTTTGACCCTTAAAGAATAGTTCTTTTCTTGTTCCCATCCACTATATACTTATCATTTTCATAAGCATCTATTACATTTTGTTCTAACGGTTGAATGAGTTATTTTAAGTAGTACCAATCAAAATCATACACACAATATATATCATCTACCAAGTTTTTTTTACATTCTCTCTACAGTTTATCCATATAACTAACTAGGCTAGATAGCATAAAAAAGGTGGTGGTGGTGGTGCTAACCTTAGGCTGCAAATTCCCTATACCTAGACCAATAGGAGCGGCAGATGAAGCACAAGGGAGATGATGCCCTCCCTGAGAACCTTCTGCTGAACTTACATTCGGTTCTTCTGACACTTGATGACATTCTCCCTGTATCTTGCAAATTTATAAATACGACTAATATATACCATAATAACACGCATGACGAAGAATTGGCGTTCATGATCACATACCTGACTTTCACCAACCTCCCTAGTTTCAGCTTTCACACTAGAACTAGTAGTTTGCTCCGGAAGAGTTGTGCTCTCAAGTGGACCTTGAATGTACTAAATCAATTCAGTACAATGACATAGTAAAACAACATAAATATGTTTGTGTTGAATTTATAAGTCACTCAGGTTTTTAATTATTACTATGTCTGTGAAGAAAAATATCACAGACATGATACAGTTGTACCAAGCATTCAAAATATAACACTTTGTATTAGATTTATCAGTTGGTTTAGCTGTTTAGCACACTATGGTTACAAACTTAGGCTCTGTTTGATTGAAGAAAAATAACTTTCTCTAGAAAATTGTTCCTAAGAACTTAGAAAATAAGTTTCATGTATAATAACATCATGAACTCCGCCATGAGATCTTTTTTGGTATCATGCCTATCCTACAACAAAATAGAGGAGGGTGATGTGATACAGCCAATAGGGATTACTTAGTCAAATCATATGACATGAATCGAAATATGAATATCGCTATAGCTCGGTCGTCGCCCGTAAGAGACGCGTCATCCTTCTACGTGGGGTGGTGTCAAATATGCAAGGGTGCACTATAGGCCGGGGTGTGGTGATAAGATTGTTAAGGTTGCTAGATCGTTGTCCAGAAGCGGTGTGCCACCCCAATACCGGGGATGAGGTCAAACATGTGAGGGCACGGTGGGGACGAGATGGTGTTAAGAATAGAAGGTGGAGTTTTAGAGTGCGCTATGGGACATGAAACGTTAGGTCTCTTACGGGAGGCTCATATGACGTAGTTGAGGTTATGAAGAATATCAGCAATATGTGGGTGCAAGAAAATTAAGTGGGTTGGAAAGAAGGCACATGAGATTAATCCTGGAGGTTTTAAATTGTGGTAATTAGAAGACCATAAATGGATTAAGCATTATTGCGACGCGTGACTACATTGAGGATGTGGTGTGAGTATTTAGGAAGAATAATCGCATTATTTATGAGCATTAAATTGGTGATAGGATATGAGATCGTGTTCCTGGTAAGAGCCTATGCACCACAAGTGGGATTGAATGATCTATCACTTAACAATCCTCGGAAGATTTTGAGGAAGTAGTGCGATGAGCGTCAACGGGAGAAAAGTTGGTCATAGGAGGCGACCTCAATGGGCATGTGGGCCCGAATTCTGATGGTTTTGAGATGCGATGCGATGACACGGTTTTGGCACTAAAAATGAAGCGGGAAAGAACGCTTTCAATTTTGCCTCAATATTTGAGTTGGCTATAATGAAAAGAGTACTTGGAGAATTATCTAAACTGATTGTAAGGTTATCCCAAGTGAGTGTTGTCACTAAGCATAAGATGCTTATGTTTCAAGGGGGTCTGGAGCATAATAAGTGGGTTCAGTTACAAGTTGAGCCAAAGATAAAATGGGGAAAGCTCAAGAGCACATAAAGCTTTGCATGCAAAATGTTGTCGAAGATGTATGGTGTTTTGATAATGACACACATTTGGAGGATGTATGGTTATCAAAAGAGCAGACCATTAACAAAGTAGCAAGGACGATACTGGGAGAATCTGAAGAATGTCTGCCAAGCGGCCACCCAAACAGGGCACATATTGGTAGAATAATGTGGCGAAACAAGTAATGAGGAACAAAAGGGAATGCAACAAAAGGTAAGGAAGAGTTGGAGCGATGAGAACATAGAGAGAGGAGTACACGGAGGCTGGAAGAAAAGCTAAAAACTGTGAAAAAAGCACGAGGGAAAATGAACAAGGAGTTATATGTAAAATTGAACTCTAAAGAAGAAGGAGAAAAATATATTTGTAGACTTACTCGTCTTTGGTATCGTAAGACTCAAGATATCGGAAAAGTTAAATGTGAGAAGGATGTCAATCAAATTGTACTAATGGATGACTAGAAAATAAAAGGGGGGGTGGGGGTCATACTTTGATACTTTGTTCAACAGGAATAAAACGGAAGATACTGATGATCTTATGGTATCAGATTATATGATAAATCGGAATTTTATGAGAATGACCCAAACGACAGAAGTTAGAAAGACTCTAAAAAGATGTGGCAGAAGAAAGCAATTGGTTCAGAAGACATACCGATCGATATCGAGGCCCAGAGGTTTGGGGGAGAGAGGCATCGAGTAGTTAACACATTTTCCTTGAACAAGATTTAGAGTAAACAACATGCTAGTGAGTTGGCGGAAGAGTACTCTTATTTTCCTATTTAAGAATAAGAGTGGTGTACAAGAATGTGTCAACTATCGAAGGATTAAACTTATTAGTCACACTATGAAACTTTGAGAGTGAGTAATTGAGTGAAGGCTCCAAAAAAGTGTGAAGATATTGGAGAATCAATTCAATTTTATGTCTAATCACTCAACAACTGAGGTCATTCACCTTCTTATGCAACTTGTGGATAAGTATGGGGACACTAATATTTATCTACATTTAACGTTCATTGACATAGAAAAGACAAATGATAGAGTACCTCAAGATGTCGTTTGGTGGGCCTTAACAAGAAAAGGCATATCACGTGAATATATATCAACATCAGCATGGATATGTATGAGAATTGTACTACATGTGTTCATACTAGTATAACGAGGACGATTGAGTCCTTTATTGCTATCGCAATAAACCAAGGATCGACTCTGAGTCCTTTTTTAATTGTTATAATCATGGATGAAATTACGAAATCAATTCAAGAAGATATATTATGGTGCATGATGTTTGCCTAGATATTGTATTGATTGATGGGAACAATCGAGTGTTAAACCACAATTGGAACTATGACGACAAATATTCTAGTACAAAGGTTTCAGGTTGAGTCGAATCAAGACAGGGTATATCAAGTGCGAGATTGGTAGAGGTAGAAGCAGTAGTAGTAGGATTACCAAGGAAATACCAATCAGTTATATGTTCCACCGTTACTTGGGCTCCATAATTCAAAAGAACAGTGTACTAGATGGAGATGTATCCATAAAATCATAACAATATGGGTGAAATGGAAGAGTGCATCTAGATTTCTATGTGGTCGAGGTATGCCAACTAGACCGAAAGGTATGTTTTATCCGACGGCAATTAAGTCTGCATTATATGGCGTAGAGTGTTAGGTGGTGAAACTAACGTTTGCAATTGTGTCTCTTTGTGCGCCTATGCTACTTCCAGGAAAATTGTGTACGTTCGCATTGCAAAAGGCGGATAGGCATGAAGCGTAAATTCCACGGTGCAGAGGCGTATGCAATTTCATCTGCGCAATGAGGCGTTCAAAGGCATACGCCATATTAGGTCTGCTGCGTAATGATTTTTTTGGCTCATTCAGCCCAATTTTTAATAAAAAGACTTAACAGAAGCCTCAGTTATTCATAACATACACGTATTAGTTTTCATTCTTTGTTGCACCTTCGGTTCTTCTTCCGGCTTCTTCTACAATAATGCCTCCTCTAAAGCTTTTCTTATTTGCTTCAACTGTTAATATTTCTATGGTACCGTGCCTCCTTTACGGTACTCCTCCGCTTCTTATGTTAATATTCTTCAACTTTTTATTAATATTTTATTATTTTGCATCAGTTAAGTTTTTGTATATTAATATATTCTTTAAGATTTTATATTTAGTGTTAACTTCAACTTTAGTACTACCTCCGTCCCTTAAAACTTTGCCAAGTTTGACCGGCACGGGGATTAATAAAGTAAAAACTGTGTGACAGATGTTTGTGCAGAGGAGAGAGAATTAATTGGAACCACGAATTGTTTACTTAAAAGAGAAAGTAACAAAGTTAGTAGGACATCCAAAAAAGAAAAGTTGGCAAAGTTTTAAGGGATGGAGGGAGTATTATGTAGTAATATTTAGTGTTATATATAATATACATAGTATAATTTAATAGTAATAATAATGTCAATATCCTTCATTTAATGTTTTCTGCTTATTAATGATTTACACAGTAATCTTTTTTCATCTATTTAGTTTCATTCCTGTCCCAAGTCAGGATAAAGGAGGAGGGTGTTGTGGTAGACGTGCGACGGCCAACAATATCACTTAGTCACATCACATGACATGAATCGAACAAAATTCTTTTGGGATTAAGACTTGAATGTTGTTGTTGTTGTATATCGGGTGTTAGCTTCAACTTTAATATTAATATATAATTATATAGTGTCGTATTTAATTTAATACTAAATTTAAATTTAAATTTTTGTTAATATTAATTTTTTGTTGATATTCAAGTGCATCATATATAAGCTAGATGATGTTAATACTAATATTATGTTAATATATCGTTCTTGTTGTTAATCTTGGAGTATTATACTAGGAATATATTAGCTACGAGGTTAATATTATTATTTTGTTAATATATATATAAAAGTTTTACCCCTCAAGCCTACGAGGCTTATGCAATGCGCAATAAAAAAAGCCACAACTACACTGTAGATATGCAATTTCGAATTTTGGGTCAAACGATGTCACATTCAAAAAATGAGCGTGCTGAGATACACATGTTGTGTTGGATGTGTGGACATGTTAGAAAAGACCGTTTGAAGAATGAAACAATCAGAGAAAAGGTGAGAGTGACACTTATTAAGATAAGAAAGAAGAATCACGATTACGGTGGTTTAGTCATGTGTGTAGAACACCGAGTGATGCACTTGCTAAATGAGTTGAGAGGTTGGGAGAAGAGGCATGGAGGAGAGGGAGAAGAAGATTCAATTAGACGTGCATTAGAGGAGTCAAGAGTGAAATGCTAATGCTTCTTCCTGGATTGGATGACAATATGGCTTTGGAGAGAGCAAAGTGAAGGGAGAATATTCATGTGAAGGATATATCTATTTTCATCTTTTTTACCCAATCTCTTTTACCTTATACCCCCTCCGTCCCATTTTGGTTGTACTACTTCCTTTTTAGGTTATCCCAAAATGAATGTCTTGTTTCCTTATCATTTCACTTTATTCTACTCAAATATCAACCACAACTTTTACTTTTTAACCACTTTATTAATAATTGTGCCAAATTAAAATAGGACAACCATTATGGGGTGGAGGTAGTATTTTTATCCTATGTAACTTATCAGTTTTATTTTTATTTTA